GAAGAGAGAAGCATTAGTCATTCACTTTTTTCTCCTTCTTTTGTGGTATCTAGTAATTGTTAAACTTGAGCTTATATTTGGGTAGATTTACCCTGGATCCGCCTTAAGGGCACTGAGTTGAGGATGCTTGGAATCAACTCAATGGGAGTGGGGTTTGAGTCCCTCAGAAAGAAATCATGTTTGCTTCTGCTGGGAAACCAATTTGGACTTCCAGAATGGAACCACTGTAATAATGGACTTGGGGTTTTTAGGTGCACCCAAAACCAACTGCCACGGGGTCCATTCTGACTCATACAAATTCAAACCTCAGGTTTATCTGAGAGCAGTTTGTGGTAGGAATATTTAGTGAAGCGTAAACTTTCGTGGATAGCCCCTCAGTGTTCCCCCACCCCCACCACATCCAAAGATACAATGGAGACCAGTGAGTTTCCATTTTTCCTCCCAAATTTACTACCAGCACGCAGTTTTAGCCTCCTTTCCCAAGCTCATGCTCCCTCTAGAGCATTAGTTTGCTATTGGTGTCAAGTTCAGCTTCCTCCTTTCTTCCACCTTGTTAGGGGCCAAAGGTCCCATTCCTGAGAGGTTTGCCTGTTAATCCCCAACTATCCAGCTTCCTGGTCTAGGTATTTGAGTTTAGAGCAGTCCTGCTGGCATCTGTGTTTGAATACTGCTCAGATTTCAGCTTCTTATTTGCTGTTAGATATTTACCAAGGATGAATATATGAATGCATGAAAGTTATGTTTGCTGAATTTATCTAAAACGTAAGGATTTTATATTGAGTGGATGTGACCAATATCCACCAATATCCACGTTAGTTGTGCTACTGATTATGTGTCTATTTGGTGTTTTTCTTCCTTTTCCTTCCTTACTTCCGACTGTCTTTGCGATGTTTTATTTTTGACAGTAGTTTATTCCCCACCAAGGGATCCCTTGTGAGAAGGCAGCCCACCTGGATAAATTCCATGTTTCCACTTTCTCTTGGTGCAATCAATTTTCTTTCCTTTGCACTCGTGGTTTTCCTTGTCTGCCTGGAAATGAGATGCCTGTGGCAGACTTGAGATCTTTATCATAACTTCCTTCCCTCAATCACCTTAGTATGAATATGATCAAGAATGGTGCAAAGTGGTAGTAAATAGTGCTTCAGGTGTGAGAGAAAAATTTTCAGCACAAGGAAACAAACTCAATGAGCTAGAAAACTGGTTCAAGCTACAACAGAAAGAGAAATATTCGTAAAATCTACTGTGATCCACAGAGATAAACAAACTCTGACAAAGGCATTCTGTATGAACCTATCAGTCTTTCATCCACACTCGGGAATTATGGAGCTGGAATATAGAAATTATGGATGTGAAATATAGAAAACTTAATGAGCCTTCTCTATTGTACCGTAGAAAAATGAGTTTTGTTGAAATGAGACCCTTGCCGATAGAAACAGCCAAATAAGGAGACAGAGTGGCTGGAGTCAGTGATGGCCAGAAGCTCTCTTAGGACCAAGCGTCGTGACCTTTTCAGCTTATGAGGGGTTATCAAAACAGAACTAAGATGTTGGGGTTAAGAACCTGATTCCTGTTAGATGTGTTGACGAATACAAGTTTTCCATTAGTTTTCTTCTTCTGCTAATTAGTTTTCCATATAGGCAACAGGATATTCCAAGTACTGACAATGGGCTTTTTTCTTCAGCTTTCAATTACATTATATATAAATACTCTCTTAGGTATGTGGTGAAATTGCATGATATAAAATAGTGTCATATTGAATATAGCTCAAGAAGAGCCAGATAGACCTGAAGTGTTTTTAGGACCTATAACTTATCCTCAGCTTCGTTCCACGAATTGTAATAATAGTAATCAGTTGCAATTGCATCAACTTGAATCATGATAATCCCATGATTATCATGGGATTTCATAGTAGAATAGTGCTCCATAAGGTTTTTAGTGGCTTGTTTTTCAGAAATAAATCACTGGGCTTTTCTTCTAAGGTGCTACACTGGCACTTCCAGCATTTCATCAGAAGCTGAGTAAAAACCAAAAACAAAAAAATTTTTTAAAAAGAAGCTGAGTGTGTTAACAGTTTACACCACACATTGACTCCATAAGAAACATGACTAGCATTGATCGAACAGGTCCTGTGTGCCAGGTGCTGTGGTATTTTACTTGGAGTATTCAGTTAAGTGTCATAACAATCATATGAGGTCTGTAAATAATCGTCCACTTCATGCTACAGAGGAGGCAGGCAAGACTCAGTGAGATGAAATAATTAAATTATCAAGTTTATTCATTGGTAGAAATGAGTTTCTAATTCAATCAGTCTTTTATTTCAGAGAAGAGGCTTCCTTTTGAGCACCATGAAATACCGTCATTTGAAGTTTTCTTGTTCCTTTTGATATCACCTGTTTTATCTCAATCCTCACGATGTTTATCAAATAAAAAGGAGAAGGAAGGTATTATTGTTAGTTAAGATTCTATTTTTAACACAAAAAACAACTTACAGTATTATAAATAAAGCTAATTTAGATTAATATCAGTAGCTAAAAGAGATCAGTGGCCAACTGAGGAACAGATCATCAATTGTTCATATGTAATTTCAGATTGAAGTTGAAGAAAAATGAAACAACTCTATGAGCACCAAAATTTGACCTTGAGTGCAGTCTACCCGACTTACAAAAACATCTCAAGAACAGATGTGACACACTGGACTCTAATGATAGCAGAGTCGATGAGCTTTAAGATGGTTTGAAGAACATCATACACAAAGAAAACAAAAAGATCATTAAAAAGACATGAAAGAAAGAAAAGATCAAAGTGGATGTCAGAAGAGACTGAAACTTGATCTTAATCATAGAGTCGTTACAGCAAAGGGAAGAAAGGGTGAAGTCAACGAGCTGAATAGAAAATTTCAAACGTCAGCCCGAGAAGACAAAACCAAATACTGTAACAAAATGTGCAAGGACCTAGAATTAGAAAACCAAAAGGGGAGAATGTTTTCTGAACGGAAACGTTATCTGAAACGGAAAGAATTCAAGAAAAAATTTCAAGCCTTGAATTAATGAGATTATCTATAGAATTACCATATGCCTCATGGGGAAGATTTATAATGTTCTTCAATAAAATGTCAATGATCTCTCTAAAGTGAGCCAGTGACATAGATATATGAATGGATTTGGGTATCATACATAATTGTAGTCCTAATCTAAGAACAATTAGTTCTTGTGACATGGACCAACTTGATAACCTCATGAAGAGATCACTGATGATATGGATGCTATTGCAAAGTTTGGTAAAGAAATTAGATGGTGCTCAGCTAACAGAAATAATTGTGTCTGGGCTTGTCTTCAAACAAGCAGCCATCTAAGTGAGGTGTCACCAAGTTCACGCAGAAGAGGCACACCAGCCTGTGTGATTTGAAGACTGATTATAATAAAATGTAAGACTGGAGGAGGGAATGGTATTAGAGCTTAAATTCTGAACACCTGGTTTTCAGAAGGCTATGGAGAACACTGAAAGTCTAAAATCCATTTGCAGTGTCCCCAAATAAGACATAACCCAGAAGAGATTAGGACCGTCTCTACCTCATTGTATATCTTATCAACATAATACCTACTATTTCTAAACCCGAACACATTCACAGACAGGTGCTAAGAATATAGCTCATGTTGTTGGAGACACAATCACTCCACAACAACAGATAATGATACATCACAAGAAAGTGCAATTCTCCAAGGTTTATCACAGCTTCAGAGGTTGGAAGCATGAGCCCCTGGGTGGTACAAAAGCTTAAAATGTTCAGTTCCCATCAAAAACTTGGAAGTTCCACTCCAACAAGACACACCCGGGAAGAAAGTTCTGGAGATCTACTTCAGGGAAAAATAAAGAAAATCAGCCCTTGAAAATGCTTTGGCGCTTACTACGACTCTGACACACATGGGGTCAGTGGGAGTTGGAGCTGACTTGATGTTCAACTAGAAAGTTTGAAGTAAGGGGAGGAAGGAGTTACCAGAGAAGCTATTTGTGTTTTAAGGGATGTGATCAGTTTCTGGCATCTCCACAGGGAAGGTGCCAGGATAATGAATATCTTGACCTAATTCTTTTGCAGGCTCCTCCTGAGTATATCCATTGACTGAATTCAACTGGGAGCCAAAGGACAAAGGAGTCTACTGATATGGTCAATGCCAGTCAACTTCTTGACCACACAGTAGGGTAGAAAGAGTGGAAATGTATCTGGAGGAGCAGTTAGAAGTTATCTAGTGCAGAAACCAAATGCACTTTTAAGGAAATTCATAGTTATAATATGCCTTGGGGAAGAAATAGCTGTGTATGCCTAAATGTTGTACAGAGCAAGCTGGATGAACAAATTTACTGACAAAGAGTGTATTTAGCATCAAAACAGACTTGCAAAGAATGGCTTCTCTTGTAGATCCATCAAAATGGGAAACACATACCCATCTCAATGAAATGATTGGAGTGAAGTTGTACTGATGAAAGGGGTGTGGGTGGCTACAATGACTTTGAAGGGTCCTTGTAACCTGAGGATTCAATGTTCCAGGAGGAGTGATGGAAATCAGGGAATAGGATCTCTTGCAAAATATTCACAACTCTTTGAAATGGAAATTAGGCTACTCCAATTTAGGCATCAAATTAAAGCAACTATTCTGGGTGTGAGCAGGATGGGCTGGTGCCTGTTTGAAATGGCAGGGAAAGGAGGGGGGCAGGCATGCTTTTCCCTGGATGAAGCAGGAGCTCAGTCAGCCGGTTTTTATCTTTACTTAGCACCTGCTGGATTGGAGTGGTGTCACCCAAGCAATCAGACGGTGGATGTGCCAAGAGACTGACCTCCCCATGTCTGCTACCCCTCCTCCCCACACATACCCCATGACAGCCTGTCCTGATATGGACAGGGAACTGGTTTAAAATGACAGTCTCAAGTTCAAGTAGGAAGAGCAGCCCAATTCAAAGAAACAACCAGGCAAACTTCTTTCCTTGTAGGAATAATTCTCATCGCCCTTCACGATGGCTCATCTGGGAGCCCATTTTGCCTTTAGATCCCGCTGGCAGAAGACTGATGATGAACTCTGTCGACATAGCATGTCCTTTATCCTTCACAGAGCCATTCGCAGTGACTTCTTTCAGAGCTATCTCTACCTGCTAGAAAAAATATCCCTGGGTAAGTGCGTCTGAGCTACAAGATAAAGAGAAGAAAAGACTTAAGGGGCTGTGTTAAATTGTGGAACTTTATAAGAGGAATTAGAATGAGGACACTTTTCAGATGAACCTATAGCCAAGGGTGGTGGGCTCGGATTTTTCCAGGGCATTCTTTTTTTTTTTTAATGACCAAAACCAAATCTTTATTTTTATAACTGTATAAATGTGATCCAAATGGGTCCACCATTAAGTTTTCGGAGGGGAAAAAAACTCAAAAGCATGCTATAAATAAGCAAATTACATCTAATCATGGGTGTGTATGGACTCTGTCGATGTCTCATTGGACTAATTACAGACCACTCACAGTAGAACATTTTTAGTATAAAGTGTAGCATGATGTTACGCCATCGTAGCTTTTGCACATACATGTCGCACTTCTGGCTTACAATGCAGGAACATTTTGCAGCATTCGCTCCTAAGCTAGGTTCCATCCATCACTTTAAATGGCACCACTATCATTCTTTTATGAGGAGTGCCAACATCAGAAGCTGCCTGGCAGGCCAGAATCCCAGGTTTCTATTTTGGGAGTTCCTTGCTCTCAGAGGCAGAGTCTTTAGCTTCTTTGGGTGTTGGCTGTCCGCGTGTCAGGCTTATAGAAAATAATTTCTTCAGTTCTGAAGGGTATGCTAACATTTGTTGAAAATGTAAAATTAGCAAATAGATTATGCAAGGGTGAGAGCATTAAGTATGTCAAGTAAGATTTTTTAAAAAGAAGGTAAATCAAGGTGTACTTGTGTATATTTGTGTGTGTGCATACTTTACATAATTTTTCCCTGACCTTCTTAAGTCATCATAGTAATCAGTGAGCCTGAAAGGAGCAGATTTTAATTTGGGCTTTGAATATTAAGAAGAAAACTGGGTCAGTTTGTCTCCATGTTAGTTATTTCCTCGACTGTTTAGGGAATTGGACAATAGGGCAATTTAAGGGGCTTAGCTAGTTATCGACGTAACTTTTCTCAGCCTTTGTAAAAGTGGTTACTTCAGGGCCCCCTTAATAGCACCAAAAAGGAAATAACTTATGATTAAAGAGTGAAATAGCTCCCTTTGGTTTATATCCCCTCCAATGAAAGCAAGAACGCAGTGCATCAGTCCCGGTCTGTTTTCTTAAGGTTGTCTGAAAGCCCCATTGTGCTCTTGATGTGGGACAGGGTTTCTAGCTCTGGAAGGAGCTCAATAATGCCGTGTATTGAGTTCAAGAAACTGAATGTTAGCAGCCTACTAATGCCATTTATTTATTTATTTATTTATTTATTTAGTGTGTGTGTATGTGTGTGTGTGTGTGTGATTTTCTCAGGGGATTTTTAGTTCTAGATGTAGAAATACTCATGAAATGGTCAAAACATTTCTCATTTATAACTTTATTTGATCTTCACAGCCACACTATGGGGAGGTAGGGTAAGTATTATTATTATCCCCCCTACCCTCTCTTTTGCTATTTTATTTTTTCCAAGCGAGGGAAAGAAACTTTAGAGATAATGTGATCTGATCGAGGTCTGTGAAAGAACCTGGTTAGAAGGCAAAAACTCAATATTAGACCTCCTTCAGGTAGATAATACCTCATAAAAGTAATTGTCTTAGAATACTGAGTACATCATATCTCCATCCAGAAAGAAAATTTCGAGCAGCTCATTTGGAAGGCAACGATGAACACCGTATTTCTAGAACTCTTCGGAACACAAAGCTGACTTAAAAGTAAAGTCTCTGCCTCCATCCTTTTTTCCCCACCCAGTGGAAGCCGTTTGATTTTATCTAGTGTTCTCCTTTGTGGACTCGCTGATGGTTTAGCAATGGTTTCCAACTTTAAAAAAACATATGATTAAAAGCCAAGCCTTCTTGACACAGGGAACCCCTGGCTGTTGCAAATAGTTCATGTCCTTGGGAGCTCATTGCAAGACTAGCTGGTGGAATCCCTTCCGACGGCTCAGAAGAAAAACCCAGTGATTTGCTTCGGACAAATTTGTCACTGCAAGCTTTGTGGACCCCAGTTGTACTCTGACACATATGGGTCTCCGTGTATCTTATCGACGCAAAGACAAGTGGGAGTTGTTCCTTTGAGACAGATAACATCTCTCAGTGGAAAACAGATAAATCAGAGCTTTTCTACGTAGTGTTCCTGCAAGGGCCCTTCTCTTCCTCTCTTCTTTTAGCTTTTCCAGGGGCTCTCGAGTGCTTTTGTAACGCTAAGAGGGTTCCCAAAGCACAATTTGAAAACCAAAAGCCCATTCGGAGCCAAAGTTGGTTCCACTTTACTTTCCTGAATTTTCCCTTAAATTGACACAACTTATTTTCTGAATTCAACTCAGGGGTTAGTTTCCCCTCAGAGGCACAAAGCTAGACCTGTCTATAAAACTGTTTCAGGAGGGCAAGGGAAGGCTATTTTAGTTAGGACACACTGTTATGTCGCAGTCAACAGGTAAGCCTGACATCTTGGTGGCCTAACACATAAAAAGTTACTTTTTTTTACTCTTGCTACATCATGTTCAACAGGTGTCAATGGAGGGGAGAGGGCCTAGGCAGCCCCATAGGCAGAGATCCAGAGTAATGGAGGCTCCTCATGGGAGCATCGTTAGTCACCCAAAGCAAAGGAAGAGAGGAGCTGAAGGTTTAAGTACTTGTCCCAGGAACACCTATGTTGTATTTCTTTACAGCTCCTCGTCCACAACTAGTCACGTTCCTGGTTGTGGCGGAGTCGGCTCCAGCTCATGGGGTCATGTGTACAGAGTAGACTGCACTTCAAAGGGCTTTCAAGACTAGGATCTTTCAGGAGGCGTTGGCCATGCTTGTGTTCCATGGCATCTCTGCGTGGGTTTGAACTGCTACCCTTCTGGCTATTGGTCGAACGTGTTATCGTTTGTGACACCCAGTAACTCAGGTTAGTCACGGAGCCATTCCTAGCTGCAAGGATGCTGGGAAATGTAAGAGAGTTCATGTACATTGATTTGGTTATTGGCATACGTCTCTGCCACAAAGGCAGAAATTGCTTCTAAGAGATGGAAACCCCAAACATTTCTTCTTTCTGATCACTTTAATTACTTGCAATGCTAGAAATGTTTATGATACTATGATTATTGCTCAAGGTACTGTGCTTTGCATTACGCATTAATAAGACACAGTCTGTGTTCTTCAGGATTTTGTAATCTGATAATGGAGACAGATCTATAAATAACTTTCTATTAAATCTAAAACCTTTAATTTAGGGTTCTAGGAAAGGTAGCCAATGAGCTCTGTGAATACTAAGATTTCTTACAGTTTTTTTTCCCTCTCGTGACAGAAACACCACCATCTCTGTTGTTGCTTTGTGACATCAAGTCAATTTGGACTCACAGCAACCATATAAAATCGAGTGTGACTTCTCCATAGGGCTTCTAAGGAGCAGATTTCTCCAGAGGAACTGCGGGCTCTGGGCCTGCCAGTCTCTAAGTTAGCAGCTGAATGCTTAACCTTGGGGCGCCAGGGCTCCTTGTGAACCACTCTTACCAGATTGTAAATTCTGGAAGAGACAGAACAGAGTAACGTGGAATCTTGTTTGTATTGGTGCTCAATCTAGAGCTATTGTTTTTATGAAATGAATCAACATACACAGTTCATCTTCTATTTGTGACTTTTGTCCAATTAGAAGGCTTCACCCAACCTTTGATCTAAGTTGTGCAGCTCTTGATTTTTGCTTTGGGAGATTATAGCCTAAATTTATGGAATACTTTTTTTGGGGTGGCTCTCTCTCTTTTAAAAATCATTTTATTGCGGGTGGGGTGTCTTACAGCAGAATACATTTTTATAAATTGGTTCTTCTCTTGAACTCTGTAGGAGACAATGCCAATCTCTTTCTCAAATCCTGGTTTCAATTTTTGGCATCGCTATTTCTTAGCGAAGTGACCACTGGAAACCACTAAAGTCTCTGAGGATCATTTTCTTCAAAATTGCAGGGCTCCTTGAAGAAACAATATGCAATTCTACGTATGAAAAATTAGTCATGCTCAGTAAGTGTTCATTTCTGCATTTCCTTCCTCTGATCTCGGACGACGTATTGCTTCTCGATTCGGAAATAAAGCATAGCCAGGAGAGGCTCCCCTCCCCCACACCACGGAGGTGTTTTAGAGTTGGTTTCCCCTACTCTTTGTGATTGCAAGATCTCATAAGAATGAAAAGAAAGCCTTTCTTTCAAAACGGTTGGGGCAGCGTTCCTGGAGGGTCTGCACAGAGAGTTTGTTGTTTGGGGTAATTATGTGAAAAGCAGTGGTGGACCAGACTCTTTCCTTTTTACTTCCTCCCTCTTTTCAATTGCCTGCATTGAGGAACCAATCTCACACCAGCACATTATGTGGCAGCATTCGTCATGGGAGAATTTGCTGAAATATTCCTGGCTAAGGAATCCGTAGGTAGGCAAATGGTTAGGCGCTTAGCCACTAGCCTAGATGGATGTTGGTTCAAACCCACTCCAACTTGCCTTGTCAGTTAAGATCTAATGATCTATTTCTGAAAGGTCACAGCCTTACAAACCCTACGGAACAGTTCTACTCTGCACACCTGGGACCACCCGGAGTCAGATTAACTCCAGGCAACTACCAACAACCACAGAGATTCAGGGACAATCAAGAATGCACGCATGGGGAGTCTCCAATGGAAAGATTTACCTATGCCATTGGACACAACAGATGTTTTAGGGGGGGGAAAGGATATAACCTGTGACATTAAAAAAATATTTCCTCTGTGACAGGTATTCATGCATAACTTATTGTACAGTAAGAACATTTTCAAATGTTTTTGTTACCTTTGTACTATAAACACTGCAAGTAATTTTCCTTAAAAAAATGAAGAAACCGCTCATTTCCTTTTTATTACGCAGATTCAAATTTATTTTCAGGCATGGAATGTGAGATGAATAGGGTATAGGTTTGGGATGCAAATAAACAGGTTTTTTTTCCCCCAGTGGTGTCGTTCAGTGGCAGCTGAGTTAACTTATCA